ATCCTCCAAAGACAAATGTCATGGGGACTCCTCTTTTCAGCACCGGTGCCCTGGGCTGGGGAGCCAGGTGTAGGGCTGGGACCCCTCACTTCTGAGGTGGAACCTCTGCATCCAAGATAGACATTCTGCTGCTTAATCATGTGGGACCTGCCCTTTATTTGTCTCCACCCCTCTAATGTCATCCTGGCTACTTCTTTTTAATTCTTGGTTATTGGACTTGTAATTAGTGCGGTGGTTCTCGTTTATGGTGTTTCTATAATTTAGTTGTAATTTAAATGTGGTCTTGGGAGCTAAATGTCTGTACAACCTAATGCCATGGAAGTTGTAATCGCAAAACTGAAAGTTTTGCTTTTTCTCACAGTAAAAGCAGTTCAAAATTACATTCTGTTATTTTTTTAAAAATATTGTTATTGACTTCAGATAGGAAGGAAGAGGGAGAGTTAGATAGAAATATCAATGATGAGAATCATTGATCAGCCGCCTTCTGCACACCCGCTTCTGGGGATCGAGCCCGCAATCCATGCATGGCCCTTTGACCAGAATTGACCCCTGGACCTTCTGGTCCGAAGGCCGACTTATATTATTCTATCCACTTAGCCAAACCAGCTAGGACTTATATTAGACTATTAAGAAATTTATTGTGGAGCATGAAAGTTTGTTGTTTCTTTAAACCCAGATCTGCTTTTTATTTATTTTTATAGAGATTAGTAAATTTGAAAATTGTAGTACTTCTTAACCTTCTATTATACCTTTTTCATATTGTCTTTTCTCATGAGAAATCAGTTTCATTTCATCCAAATAAGTCCCTTTATATATACTACAAACAAATATTAGCAAAAAGTTCTTGCACATCAATACAGATGTTTCTTAAACTGGCATTGAAAATTGTCCTCCTGGAGACAGCACCTGCTATTTACAAAGGCTTGACCCAAAGGTCAAAATAAACTATTTTTAGCATAGATGTCATAGGATTTTTGTGTTACCCTGTATTTATATCCTTTATCTCTGACATTTCATGTAACATAAGTAAGAGCAGACGGTGGTATCCCCACTTAACGTACAAGTAAACTGGCACAGAGGATTCCTGTACCTCTTTCCAGGACTGGGCTGAAATTGAACCCCACTTTCTTGACAGCTGGTCTCAACACAGTGACAGGGACCACAAATAATTCCATACAGAAGTTTAAAATCAATAGGAATTACTTAAAATGAATAGTAATGTTAATATTTTGAAGTACAGATTAGATTTAAATTATTTGTACTATAGGAAATATTTGGTTGGCTCTTTTTATTATTTTTAGAATAGCAATATTCTTCCCCCCTTTTCTGCTTTTGCAGAAAGTAGAAGGAAGGATTAGTGGATAATTGTAGTGCTGTGATTGCAGCACCTGTGTGTTATTTCTTTTGATTGGCTAGTTTTGTATTAAAGATTCCTACCAGCTAAAAGTCTCCCTCATCAAACAGCTTTTTATTAGCTAGTTTGGCTTGGGTGATTTTAAATTTACAATAAAAACCTTCTTAATTCAGTTTAGTCTTGTACTTTAAATTTTGCTCTGAATTTGTTAGTTTACCATTATCTTATCACCTCACCCATTTCAGTTTTTTTAATTTCAGTGCCAGTAGCAACACGCACTCACAGTAACTCTTTCCTAGAGAGCTGCCTTTTAAGGAATATATGTCTAACTTTGATCTATTATAGGAGAAATAGGAGTTAACTGCTTTAGATTATGATGACCAATGCAGATGCTAACAGCGCTGTTTGGAACTTTATCTTATCGCAGTCACAAAAAGCACCTTGTTTGTAGACTTAGAACTGTGTTTAAGTACTCAGGGTTTGTTAAATCTCCTGAATATTATGTTTTCTGTAGTAAATAGAGGAAAAGATTTAAATACTGTAGAATGGGTTGGTTTTACTTATTTGGCCACATCAAATTTTGAATATTATAAAAAATGTTTAGAAGGTAAGTTACTGTAGGTAGACTCTAATTATTTACTAAGCTAGCAGTGTTTTCTGAAGATAATTCCTCAAAAAGAAAACTTCAAACATTAGACTGCCTAATTTAAATTCAATCACTAATGATTGTTTCACTTTTTTTTTTTCTTTTTAATCCTCACCCAAGATATTTTTCCATTGGTTTTTTAGAGAGAGTAGAAAAGACAGGAAAAGACAGAGAGAAATATCGATGTGAGAGAAACACATCGATTGGTGGCCGCCTGCACGAGCACCGACCAGGGCCGGTTGGGAAGAGCCTGCGGCTGAGGCGGGTGCCCTTGCCTAGAATTGGACGCGGGACTCTTTGGTCCGCAGGCTCTCTGTTCACTGAGCCAAACCAACAAGGTTTGGTTGTTTCACTCTTTAAAATCGTTTTAGAAAGCATAATTTTCACTAACGAAGATGTTACGTGATTTTATTAAATACATTCTGTGTTTTTATATAAATGAATATATTATATCTGGATCATTTTAGCTTGTATAGTTTTATGTCTCCTTTTTTTTTTTTTTGTATAGTGAGGTATAATTATACTTCAAAATGTATTTTACCTAGATAGTCATGTCTTGCTTTTATAAATTTTACTACATTGGAAATATCCTTCTGCTTTAGAAATATTAACATTTGCTTTCTTTCTGCTTAATTTTTGTGTAAACTCTAAATATAATAAGATAAAGTGAAATATTTCGTTTATAAGCCCTCTGAAAGTAGAGCATTTTAAAAGCAGGTAGGTGTCTCCACCCTACTTTTCATGAAGCATTTTACCCATTCAAGCAGACTTTTAAAAACAGCTTGTTTTGATAGCAAACTGTTCTCCTGTGGGCCTTCAGCCTTTGCTTCCTGGCAGCACCTTTGGTGCGAAAAGAGAGTGATCAATTGGGAGACTATCAGTGCCAGCATGCATAGAGTGATAAGTTAACACACCACTGGGAATTTCTAGGGCCCACCAAGATACTTCACTTCTAATGTGCTAACAAGCTCATTTTTCTACCTCTTGCCTCTTCAGTTATTTTTTTTCTCAGAAGAGCTTAGAAGTTGAGTGCATCAGGCATAATGAAAAGCTCTGTAGGAGGGAGAAGCAATAACCCCATTTTTCCCTTTTCAGCCAAATAGAAAATTAGTTTCTGGTAATACACAAAGGCCAGTATTTTTTGTACAAGGGGCACTGCTGTGAACCAAAGGACTCTATTAACTGCAGAAAATCCAGCAGCTGTGAACCTCCCCCATGAAAAAAGGACTTTCCAACAAGTTGTGAGATATGTGGTATTATTTAGATTGAACCATCAGTTTCATCCTTTTCCATTTATAACCATATACCTTTTAAAAGTGTGTTCTATTTCTTTTCTATGTTAACACTCAAAAATGTCTATATGATCTTTCCTTAAAATTCTTACCACTGATCATTTTAATAATCTTGTCCTGTTGCTACTCATTTCAGAAGTAAAATTCTTTTGAAGTTCAACCTCAGTCTGCAGAATTGAAAATAATGGATGGCACGGAATTGGAATTCATATTATTTCAGTGCATAAAATAAATTTTAATACAAGGAGAAACTACTCAAGCCATTTAGAGGGCAAAGGGTATCACAGTCTAAGTCAAGGACCTATTGATATAGGCTTACCTTTACTCTGATGTTTTTTTCCCCTCTTCTTAATAACTTCTATAAATATAACTGACAACGGTAGTCCCATTGATTTAGAATTTTTAATTATCTTTCACAACTTTTTTCCTTGATCTGGATTATAGACTTGGGATATAATTTCTAGAATTGTAGAACTACAGTAATTGAATTGTAATTTTCTTTTCCAAAGAATAAGGAGTTTTGAGGAGAAAATATTTTTAAATGAGTTTCAGAAAATCAGAGTGGATTAAAAACAACCAATAGGCATATTTGTTTTTATTCTTTATTGACTTACTTAAATGTCTTAGGTAAAGCCTATCAACAGAGCATATTGAGTACAGCAGGAAAACTTTTAAAAGTTGTAGAAGAAAGGTTAACTGATTTCGCAGTTCAGGAACTATAGGACATGAAGTCAGCATGTGAGCTTTTCCTGATAATTGTATGTTGCTGCCTGCTGCTCTACATTTTGACAGCCATTTCCATAGTTGCTTTCGTGAACAACAGAAATATTCTCTCTCTTTCTCGCCCTCTCTGTGCTAACAGCACAATCAGGCCTGCTGAAACAGGAAGCCTGGAGTGGGTTGTTCAAAAGCAACAACACTTCAAGGTACTGGTTGCTTGTCAATAATATCAGAGAAGAAAATGTGGTGAAAGGGAAGTACAGTGTTTTTCTGTCAGTGTCAGTGCCCTGTAGATGCTTTGTTAGACAGTATTTAGGAGTCCTGTGGTCTCTTTGCAAATATTCCTGCTTGTTTCAGTGTTATAATTGACTGGGGTTTTTTTCCTGACATACAGATTCAACTATGTATTTATCTTAACCGCATGGAGTTATTCAAGGATTATAGCAACAGTAGTCTTCCATTCAGTATGAGGACAATTGTTGGGAAAATGCAGAGATTTTAGAAGAAAAGAAAAAAAGGAAGATATGCAGGAATTTTTCACAATAAATCTTTACAAATGAAAAATATAGAATTTTAGACATAGTATTTTAAGCAGCATTATCATATTTATTGTATGGCTTCTCAGAGCAAATCTGCAGATCTGAAGCAGACTAAAAATAGGCTGACCTAATAGCAGATGAATCCTTTCTCAAGTAAACTTAACTTTCTTTATTCTAACAGTTCAGTATTGTAATTACTTTCTAATAAATGTCTCCCTGTTAAGCTGCCATTTATAGTGATATCCTGAAATGTAAACATGTTAAAAAAAAACAACATATTTTTTACTCTTTAAAAAACCATACTTTTGATATATGCAAGGTTAATGATAATTGCAAGATTGTATTTATCAAGAACTGATGGCTTAGCAATCACAATGTCCTTTTTCATGAGTCTATTCTTTTTCAATATAAGCTGCATTATTAACTTATCCTTAACTGACGGAAATCAGCTATGAGGAGAGGGCACGGTACCTGCAAACTATTGTCCAGCACCATTTAGAACCAACGACATTTGAAGACTTTGCGGCGCAGGTTTTTTCTCCAGCTCCCTACCATCATTTACCACAGGATGCTGGTAAGATTAAAAGCAAGTATTTGTTACTTGTCATTATTTGAACTTGAAATGCAATACCCTTTTGTTCTAAAAACTCTTAAAATAATAGAAAACATGCCTGAATAAAATTCCAGTTTCAACATTGAAATATAAATATTTTTCATCATTATTTAATATTTGAATCTGGCCTATAAACTTGATTCATATTTTACCTACATGAAAGTCAACAGTCTTCATATAAGTATATACACCACATTTTATCTGAGCTAATGGGCAGAATCACTGAAGGAAGTATCTGCAAAAGAAACACAAGTTGAGCATGCACTGGCAACTTTAGAGCATTGAATTTTATGGCCAAGAATAGTCTTATCTCTAATTTTACAAATAAAGTTGAATGGCCTAGATTTAAAAGGACTTAAAATAGTTAATTATTTTATAATATCTAAAGATGATAAAAGGGTACTGCATTTTTACTATTAACTAATTTTGAAGAAATCAGTAAAAAAATAAATGACTCATGGCCTTCCTATTCTGTAATACTTTGTACTCCTTATGATTGTTTCATTTATTTTATTTTCCCTCTTTAGATCATTAAATATCAGTTCTGTTTATCTGAAGGTAAGACAAAGTGTCAACCAAAACATTCTTTGTTCTTCCCCTATTTCCTTTTTTTTTTTTTTTTTTTTTAAATTAGCAAGCACTAAGCTTGTAAATCAAACAATAAGCAAACTTAACACTGCCCTGGTTCATACTAAACATTTCAGAAATGGTCACTAAATTTTTTCCAGAATTATACTTACTAACCCAAGTCTGCATGAAACACTAACACTGGTTCTGGTATAAAAAATAACTAATAATAAACCCCTTGGTTGAAATTAGTTACACCTTCTTGTATTGACCTTCTTTGTTTCTCAGCATGAAAAAAGTAGTACTACTGACCTGAAATGGTATGTCTTTGTATTTTATAATGTGTTGCATTTTTATTATCTTAACTCACCAAATAGTTGTTCTGTTGTGTGACTTTCATTGTACGAGGCACCTGAAATATGATGATGCCTTTTTATGAGTTCAAAGGAAGCAGGAAAAGATAAGATAGTATACTTGAAGTTTATTATAGTAACTCTTTAAATTCTCTTTTTTAGTTTCTATGTTAAATAAGTTTAAAAGGTATAGTACTCCTTTTCTTGCCTAATTTATTTGGGAAAAAAAATTACTATAATTCTCAATTGAGATTTGTCGATGAAATTAAAGCTTCTATTTCTGTGATCATTTAACTGGACATTAGAAAAATAATTATACCTAAAATCTTAAAGCTCTTTTGATTAATATAAAAGACTTATTAGGAATGATGACTAGGTTGAATCTTTTGAAAGAGAGATTAAAAAACCTAAGATTCACTTCAGTGGATTGATACTATCTAAAATTATTCAATTTAGCATAAAGAAAGATGGTAAAAGAAAGATATAATTATAAGTAAATTAATGAACAACAAAATAAAAAACTAGTTAAGTATTCCTGAAAATGTCCTTTTTAATAATAGAGAATATCTGATAGACTAGATTATTAAAATAGATATGAATAATACTTTTGTGAATCACATAGTCAAGTTATGTATTTCACAACTGAAAAACATTGATAATGGGACCACACTCAAACTAAATTTTCCCCTTAAATGTAGAAAATGTGTCATTTTTAATGTTCGAGTTGTTAACCAACTGGAGTCCTTCACATTCCTCTTCTTCATGTTCCTTTTTTGCCCATTCTGCATATTTCACCAGACACACACACACACACACACACACACAGTCCGTGGGTCACGTCGGAGATCCGTTCCTACAGTGCAACTAACACAATTTTCGCCATAAGTCGGAACCCACGCAATGAAGTTTAACAGTGAAAATATAATTAAAAGAAAGATAAGAATTTCTGACCTTTACTTGTGGTAAATAAATAATAAAAAACAAAGCACATATGTACATACGTCAAAATGATGGAACTTTTTCTTTATATAAATAAATGGGAGATTGCGACGTAACCACGAAACGTATGTCGAGTCCGACGTAACCCGAGGACCGCCTGTATTTATATATATAATACGGGAAGTAAATGTTCTCACTTTCTGAGGCATGAAGCAAAGGATGATACATTAACCAAGTCAAGGCTCTTTGGCTTCATTTTTTAATATGTTCCAGTATTTTCTTTACAACTTGTTGAACATAAAACTGACAGTTATTAAATAGTAATGCATAAACCTAATACATTTTTATATTATTATATAAAATATTTTTGGGGGGTGCAGTGAAGAAGAAAACTTTATTTAGTGCAAAACAGCTCAATTGTGATATAGCATGCTGTAGAACATTCAATTAATTTTTTTTAATTGTCTTTACCTTTAGGAACCATTAGAAAAAAACTCTTAAGAGGTTGTTTTTGCTGTAAATAACTTAGTCCAGTATTATCAAATACCTTTTTATATGTTCTTTGCAAACTGCATAGTTATTAAAGATAGAAATTTTTAGCAGAGTGGTTCTCAGTTCACCACAATATAAAAATGAAATATTTACTTCTGCAGTAACAAAAGCATTCTGTTCCTGATAAATTATTGTTTTATTTTTTCCAGTTACTTCAGATTTTTCTGTCCTAAACCACCCCATTCATGTAGAACTCTCTTTAAAAGTGTAAGTCAAAGTTGGGGAGGGAACACATGAAATAAACCACATAATAGCAATATGGAAGTTTTTGGTTCACTTTTACTTTTTAGCATATGATAAAATTTGCTAAGGAATTGCATTCATAATTGCAAGTGAAAATTAACTTTAAATATTCTATGCATACTTCATGTATATAAAATAATACTGATCAACACTAATGTATTAATTTGAAATTGACAATCATATAAAAATATATCTTTCTAACCAATCCTATAACATAATTTTATTTAATGGAATAATGTGAAAAATACTATTTTTTAAGTTGACAACTTGATTTAAGATTAACTAAAACCTACTTTCTATCTTACAGTAATGTACCAACTGCAATAACATGAAAGTAAAAAAAAAAAAGATTTAAAAAATAATTTTAGTGTTATTTAAAGAGATATGAAAAGCATTTTTGGTGTATCATAGTTGCTCCACAAATTTCATAACTGTATTTTCTCAAAATGGACCCTGGCAGTAGACTGATACTTAACGGGAAATTATTTTTCTCCCTAAGGGGGAGATATGGGAGATCAACAAAGTGTGACATCATGATAACTACATTAAAACATTATTAGATTGTTCTTGTCCCTTCTTTTTTTAAAAATTACAGGAAAAATCCCTTTATCTTTGTCAGGCATGTGTGTGGAAAATATCAAAAGTTTTACAGTGACCTTTTTAAACTTTTTTAATATTCATGAACACCTCTCTTCTGACTCTGCAAATAAATTACTCTTCTTCTTGACCAAATTACATTGGTAGTTCAAAATCTGGATATTTTTCCCTAATAGCACATTGTCTTTTCAAATCAAGCCTTATTTTAATAAAAAAAATTATGGAATGCCAACAAGAAACAGGATTTTTTTTCTGGAAAAGCACAATAAACATTGTCTTTCTCAATTTCAACATTAAAAATAGTACTCATTTTTTCCAGTGTTGTCTTTTTAATATCACCAGCTATAAATATGTTTAATGTTTATTGTGTAGTATTAAGCTAGTATATAACTCCACTTGGAATTATTGGGGTGTTTTGTTTTTTTTTTTCAAATTAAGTGTAGAAATTTTAATACTTTAAAAATTAAAGGATTGATGGTGTTTGACTCTATATATGCACATTTACACATATTCATATACACACATAAATATACACACCTATACCTACATATAACTATCATTACCTTTAGAAAATTTATAGGCTACTATTTTTTTTAATATGTTTTATTGATTTCAGAGAAGAAGGGAGAAAGAGATAGAGACATCAATGATGAGAGAGAATCATGGATTGGCTGCCTCCTTTTTCTGTTTTTTGCAGACTGCCTCGTGCATGCCTCACACTGGGGATTGAGCCTGCAACACGAGCATGTGCCCTGACTGGGAATCGAACTAAGTTAGGCTGCTATTTAAATAAATATTATAAAAATTAGTAATAAGATTCAAATGTTTTTATGTATGCTATCAAAATAAGAGTTAATCTAGAAAAGAATGGTTATGAAAACCTAGGGTAGTGTCACATCATCCTTCATTCTAATCTATTTTACTATTATTTCATAAAATCTGTATTGCCACATCTAGATGGGATAGTGTTATGATCATCATAACACTATCTCTAACCTTTCGAATCATCAAAATTTAGCCATTGCTTTAGGTAACCATTTAAGCTCAGTGTTCTTCTTTAAAAGTCATTTTGCACTTTACTTTCTAAAGTAACCTGAAAGAATATATTTTAGGAACGCGGAAGATGTTTTTATATATATAGAGGCCCGGTGCACAAAATTCATGATGGGGCGAGAGTGTGTGTCCCTAAACCCAGCCTGCACCTTCTCCAATCTGGAACCTCTAGAGGGATGTCCGACTGCCCTCTCACAATTTAGGACTGGTGGCTCCCAACCGCTTGCCTGCCTGCCTGCCTGCCTGCTTGCCTGCCTGATTGCCTTTAACCACTTCTGTCTACCAGCCTGATCATGCCTAACTGCTCCTCTGACGGCCTGATTGCCCTTCACTGCCCTTCCCTACTGGCCTGGTTGCCTTCAACTGCCCTCTCTTGCTGGCCTGGTCACCCCTAACTGCCCTACCTTGTCAGCCTGGTTGGCCCCATCTGCCTTCACCTGCAGGCCTGGTCGCCACTAACTGCCCTCCCTTGCAGGCCTGGTCCCTCCCAACTGCCCTACCCTGCTGGCTTGATCACCCACAACTGCCCTCCTCTGCTGGCCCAGTCACCCCTAACTGCCCTCTCTTGCCAGCCTGGTCACCATTAACTGCCCTCCCCTGTCAGCCATCTTATGGTGGCCATCTTGGGTATTGGAGTGATGGTCAATTTGCATATAT